GGTGCGACAGTCGCCGTGGCCATCTATCAAGCCTCCCAGAGTGCTTATGATGTCTTCGACAAGGTGACTGTATTGTATGAGGGCAGACAGATTTACTTCGGTCCTACCGATGAAGCCAAGGAATTCTTCACCAACATGGGATTCGAATGCCCTGAGCGTCAGACCACCGCTGATTTCCTGACCTCCCTGACCAGCCCTGCTGAGCGCATTGTGAAGCCGGGTTACGAAGGCAAGGTTCCACGCACCCCTGACGAGTTCGCCGCCGCCTGGAAGAGCAGTGAGGCCTACAGTAGGCTGAAGAGACAAATTGCCGAATACAATCAAGAATTTGCAATTGGTGGAGAGTCGCTTGGCAAGTTTATTGAATCTCGCAAGGCCATGCAATCGAAGAACCAGCGCGTCAAGTCTCCCTACACCATTTCTCTTTACGAACAGGTCAAGCTCTGCTTGGTTCGAGGATTCCAGCGACTACAAGGTGATGCCAGTTTGACCATCTCCCAGTTGGTCGGAAACTTCATCATGGCCTTGATCATTGGAAGTGTCTTCTACAATTTGCAACCGGTGACTTCTAGTTTCTATTCCCGTGGTGCTCTTCTCTTCTTCGCCGTCTTGCTCAACGCCTTCTCCAGTGCTCTTGAGGTGAGCTCAGCAAACTCATCCAACTTCGCTTAATTAATCAAAGAGACTAACCGCGATGATAGATCTTAACCCTGTATGCTCAACGTCCGATTGTCGAAAAGCAAGCCCGCTACGCCATGTATCACCCGTTCGCCGAAGCCATCGCATCCATGCTTTGTGACATGCCTTACAAAGTTGGAAATGCCATCATCTTCAACATTACTCTGTATTTCATGACCAATCTTCGTCGCGAACCAGGCGCATTCTTCGTCTTCCTGTTGTTTTCCTTCGTGACGACCTTGACAATGTCCATGCTTTTCCGAACCATCGCTGCCTCTTCTCGCACTCTTTCTCAGGCTCTGGTGCCCGCTGCCATCCTCATCTTGGGTCTGGTCATTTACACTGGATTCACCATTCCTACGAGATACATGCTTGGCTGGTCGAGATGGATGAACTACATCAATCCCATTGCCTACGGATTCGAGAGCTTGATGGTTAACGAATTTCATCATCGTCAATTCCTGTGCTCTGAATCGGAGCTGATTCCAAATTACTCGGGCGCTTCGATCGAGTACCAGATCTGTTCCACGGTCGGCGCTGTTGCTGGAGCCAAGTACGTCCAGGGTGATGCCTACCTTCACAAGAGTTTCCAGTACTATGACAGCCACAAGTGGAGGAACTTGGGTATCATGTTCGCCTTTATGATCTTCTTCATGACTACCTATCTGCTTGCCACCGAGTTCATCTCGGAAGCCAAGTCCAAGGGTGAAGTGTTGCTGTTCCGCCGTGGTCAAGCTCCACCTTCTCTCGACGATGTTGAAACGGCCCATCACGTCGCCGCAGACGAGAAGACTGACGGGTCTGGTGGCCAGTCGAGCGCTGCTATTCAGAGACAGGAGGCCATTTTCCACTGGCAGGACGTGTGCTACGACATCAAGATCAAGGGCGAGCCCCGGCGCATTTTGGACCACGTTGACGGCTGGGTCAAGCCCGGAACCTGTACTGCTCTTATGGTAAGGCTTCCAATCGGTTCATCAACGTACTATCGAGACTAACTAAGCTTGCAGGGTGTTTCTGGTGCTGGTAAAACCACTCTTCTGGACGTGCTCGCAACCCGTGTGACAATGGGTGTTGTAACTGGTGAGATGTTGGTTGACGGTCGCCCTCGGGACCAGTCCTTCCAGCGCAAGACTGGTTATGTTCAGCAACAAGATCTTCATCTTCACACTACCACTGTCCGAGAGGCTCTGCGCTTCAGCGCCATTCTCCGTCAGCCCGCCCATGTCAGTCGCCAGGAAAAGCTCGATTATGTTGAAGAAGTCATCAAGTTGCTTGGTATGGAAGCATATGCCGATGCTGTTGTCGGTGTTCCTGGTGAAGGTATTTGATCCCCACAAACCCTACTAGTGTGCTACAGAACTAATATATTCTAGGTCTGAACGTCGAGCAGCGCAAGCGTCTCACTATCGGTGTGGAATTGGCAGCGAAGCCGCAACTACTTTTGTTCCTTGATGAGCCCACATCCGGTCTTGACAGTCAAACCTCCTGGTCCATTCTCGATCTCATCGATACCCTGACCAAGCACGGCCAGGCCATCCTGTGCACGATCCACCAGCCCTCCGCCATGCTCTTCCAGCGTTTCGATCGCTTGTTATTCCTCGCCAAGGGCGGTAAGACCGTTTACTTTGGCGAAATCGGTGACAAGTCGTCGACTCTTGCTAGCTACTTCGAACGGAATGGTGCTCCGAAACTGCCTACTGAAGCCAACCCAGCTGAATGGATGCTTGAGGTCATTGGTGCTGCTCCTGGATCGCATAGTGATATTGACTGGCCCGCTGTCTGGCGCGAAAGCCCGGAACGTCAGGGGGTACTTGATCACCTTGCTGAGCTGAAATCTACTCTCTCGCAAAAGCCGGTCGATACTAGCAAGCAGGACCCTGGCGAGCTCAACGAATTTGCTGCACCCTTCTCTGTTCAATTGTGGGAGTGTTTGATTCGTGTTTTCTCGCAGTACTGGAGAACTCCTGTCTACATCTACTCGAAGATCGCGCTGTGCGTCCTGACATCGCTCTACATCGGTTTCTCCTTCTTCAAGGCGAAGAACAGTGCTCAGGGTCTCCAGAACCAGATGTTCAGTATTTTCATGCTGATGACCATCTTTGGTAACCTTGTTCAGCAAATTCTTCCCAACTTCTGCACCCAGCGTTCGCTATACGAGGCTCGTGAGAGACCCTCTAAGGCCTACTCGTGGAAGGCTTTCATGGCCGCTAACATCATCGTCGAGCTTCCATGGAACGCGCTCATGAGTGTCATTATCTTTGTATGCTGGTACTACCCCATTGGTCTGTACCAGAATGCTGAGCCCACCCACGCCGTCCACGAGCGCGGAGCTTTGATGTTCCTGCTGATCCTGTCCTTCCTCCTGTTCACCTCCACATTCGCGCATATGATCATTGCTGGTATTGAACTCGCTGAAACCGGTGGTAACATTGCTAACTTGCTCTTCTCCCTGTGCCTGATCTTCTGTGGTGTCCTTGCCACACCTTCCCAACTCCCAGGCTTCTGGATCTTCATGTACCGTGTCTCGCCATTCACGTACCTGGTATCAGGCATGTTAGCCACCGGTGTGTCAGGCACGACTGCTACCTGCGAAGCTATTGAATACCTTCACTTCAGCCCTCCTCCTGACACCACCTGCCAGAGCTACATGTCCAACTACATCAGCAGCTACGGCGGCTACCTTGAGAACCCGAATGCCACCTCCGACTGCTCCTTCTGCACGATCTCCAGCACAGACACCTATCTGGCCCAAGTGAACAGCTATTTCAGCGACGCATGGCGCAACTTCGGCCTGATGTGGGTCTACATTGTGTTCAACATCTTCGCTGCCGTGTTCATTTACTGGCTCGCTCGTGTGCCCAAGGGCCAGCGGACCAAGGCATAAAAGTCTGAATCTCTTTGTTTTTTCTTTCTTCTTGCTCTCATACTTTTCATTTCTTGAACATCAACCTTTGTTCTTGGTAACACTATCATGTATATTGGACATAATGCCTGTTAGATCCTACGTGAGATGGATATTTCGACATGTTTTGCTTATAAGCGTTTGCTATAATTTCGTTATCATCGACACTTGCTCATGATACAATATTTCACTCACCTCACCCTTATTGTCTCTACTTCTCCAAACACTACAGGTGTATATGGCATATTAGATCGAATAATAGATACAACAAACAACTCAATACTCGCTCAGATTATCAAACTCAATCCCTTCATACTGTACCCATTCTTAAACAGAGAGTCATTCTATCAAAACAACCCTCCCACACCCCTCTAGCAGCCAGCAATGACCACTCAACCTCATCTGACAACCACCTTTCCCCTCAACGTAGTACAAAAATTCCTTAACCCATCATTCTCACCCTTCCACCCCGCCCCGGCCCACTCCGCTGCTAGTACGTATACGTAAGACCAAGAAACACGCGCCATAACTAAACTGACTCACTCACCTTCACCTAGTTAATTGTCAGTATAAGGTGCTCCATTCTCATACAGTATAAATATCATCCACCATCATGTTATCATATCATCTACTGATTGTAGCGTTACACATAGATCATGTCCATAACTCTCTTCAAAATACTCAAAGTATGCGTGAATGAATAGAATGCTTCCGACCCCATGATCTTGTAGGCTAAGAGACTATATGATACCTGAAAACGTATCCGGATTTTGAAAGAAAAAAATAATTTGGAAGAGTAAGAGTCCGTAGATAGATAGACTTTAGATAGATTGGTATAGTATAGTACTTTGTTTCGTTGCATTACGAAGTGATTATCATGACTTACTACATAGGAATGGGCATGAACTGATAGTACGAGAGGGGGGGGTGTTGTGTGTGTGTGGAAGACTTTTGTATTGATATGGCTATGGTATATTCTTTTCTGATTTGTGCGGGACCATAATTACTTAGATCCTTGTATAATGATATATAGTTGTGCATGTGCTAGACAATCTTTTTGAGGGGGTGGTTATTGCATGTGGCCAAAGTGCGTGACAGATATGTGTGTGATGGGTAGGGGGCTCATATGCAGTCGCGAGATTATTAACACCTTTAAATCGACATGCCGCTGAAGGTGTATTGCCTGAAAATTCCAAACAGAGCTAGCTAGGCTTTGAAGCAATTCGTACCATCGTGTGAAATACCAACAGAGAACAATTGCCATGGGAAGTGGGACTAATAGAGGGGAAACTAAATATACATCTGAAGTAAATGTTTGAACGAAAGTCGAGAAAAGAAATTTTGGAACAAGAATCGAAGGTTAGTAAAATAAAAGGAATGAATATATCCCAAGGCAAAGGTGGTGATTTTGTATGGTGGACTACCATGTAAAGGCTTCTTCGGCGAAATCGACGACGGCGCCCATTCCAATGTTGTTACGTGCAGCAGCACGCACCTCGTCTGCGAATGCACCGGGCCCGCAGACAGAGACAATGGTGGCACCCACACGTTGGGGAATGGCCTCGTTGAGAACGACGTCGGGGCGACACCGGCCTGGGAACATTTGGACGGTCGCACTGGGTGATACGATTTCGCGACTGCTTTTTGGTTTGGATACGAAAAGTTTGATGGTAAGAATCTCGCGCCTCGATGGAAGTCGGAGGATCTGGTCCATCCACTCCCGTACCCAGGCTAGATGTTCCGTACTGCGTACAGACCATACGAGGTAGATCTTCTGGGTAGCCACGCGACCCTCTGAGGAGCGTATGAGCAAGTCGCGGACGTATAGCATATGATGGGTAATGCCTGCACCGGCTGAGAAGAGTATAGCTGTACCATAGCTGCCCATGTTGCACGCATGGGACGCATAGGGTCCTTCAATAAGCCCCGAGGTGTAGAGTGTTTGTCCAGGCGAGGCCAGAGCTTTGTTGTACAACTTCCGTGTCATGCCTTGTCGAGCACCAACGATGAGGGAAACGGACGTGGGCTCCTGGGAGTCCCGCATATACTCATCTAAACTAGCAAGTGGCTGCTTTTCGAGAAGCGAAGGGTCGATAAGATCTTTTTCTGTCGTAGCAGGAACGGTCACGGAGCTGCTTGGGTCTACCCAAGCGACAGAAAATGGATGCGACATCCAAAAGGAGACACTTGGGATGTAGGCGTACACATGGCTTCCGGGGCTGATGCGCACACGCTTGGGCAAGTGAAAAGTCACTCTGCAGGCTTCACCTGGGAGGGCTTCCACGACAAGCCGTGTGGACCCTCTTCGGGGAGAGATATTCAAGTACAGCAGTCGACAGAGGCGGGCTGTCCTTTCCAATAGCCAGAGAAGACCCAGCGCTATTATCCACGGCTTTTGCGGGAGATTGTCGAGATCCAAGTGCATCAACACACCAAGGTATGCTAGGAAAGCGGCGAGCTGGTGCAGATGCAAGAAGGTCTCATAGAAAGCATGCCGGATCGGGGATGGAGAGTGAAGACCCAGTGTGATCATGGAGCAAGTTCCCAGTAGGCCCCAGGTAAAGAAAGGTGTAGTGCGTAAACGCTCGAGCATGTCAGAGAAGCTGACCTCGTCGCAAGCATTTACTGCCCATGCGCACGTGTGCACAATGCTTTCAAGCACAACTATCCGGCCCAGCCAACGATGAAGGAGATTGTAGGTGTCGAAACTCACATGCAACAAGGGAATAAGCGGATTGTTGCGACCGGCGAGGATGAAAAGGGGCACCATGTTCAACACTGCCAAGGTACCTGAGCGTCCACGAAGCTCAGCTACAAGGGCTGCCTTGACGTTCGCATTATAATCAAGCAGAGTACAATAAGCGACCTGACTCGCCAGATATAGCACGACTAGAATCACCTGGAATCTAGAAGGCAGTGTGCCGACGTTGATGGCGGATGAAAGTTGGATTTCTCGGTTGTGCCTCTTCCTGCCCAGGGGCGCATACAACAGATGCTTCTTGACGTTTGCCCAAAGCGAAGATACTTCAACGCTCCAAAAGGTCTGCTCCCTCCTGCTTGCCGTTAGAGAGGTAATTTGGCGAAGATAGGCATGGCTGATCTGTCCGACACGCCCGCAAAAGACAACCAGGGCGACGAATATCAAGGACGAGAAGATGATCCGTGAAAACAGAACATCCCGCGGGACATCAACACCGTTCAGACCACGCGAATATTCATAGACGTAAGTGGCATTGATCCCATAGCCTCGCGGGATGAGTCGATGGTGGGATTCATCCATTGATAGAGAGATCTACGGCCCAGCGTAGCACGCAGTCGCTCAAGATGGAGAGACAGAGCGGACAGATCGGACAGATGTCAACAAAGCTGAGCGGGGGTCGATAAGGGCAGCAAATTCCTGAAAGCCACGATTTCCAATTATAATTCGGTTACGGTCCAGTATGACGCAGATACTGAATGGCTAGGGAACACCAAGAATGTGGGGAGAGGCGCGTTATGCCCAAGGTATCTCAGACGGCAAACCCCCACAGCAAGAGGAGCACGATCAACTTAAACGGCTCTTGTGTGTCTTTTTGATATACAGAAAGCTCGAGATGTCTCCCCTTCAAATAAGTGCTTGTTGAAGCTGTCCTGATCAGGCGGGAGAGGTGATGATGTTGGTGAGACGGTATGCGCAAATGACCAAGGCGTTGTCACGAGCAATTGCAGCTAAAGGAGCCGAAGAATGTTGAAAACACGGTACGAGGTAACGAATCTGACGAGTTGAATCTTGCAAGTCCTCCAACATTGAGTCATTACCAGCGTCATAAGTGCTGAGCCAGCCTTCGATCATCACTTACCTCCACTTCCCTACATGCATGATATAAGAAGAAAAATTCCAGCAAGTGGACAGGGGACGCACAGCGTCGTAGAAAGAATCAGATAATTCAAACCGGGAAACTAGAGGTTCCCAAAGAGAAGGTACTGAAAAAAAAAAACCTGACGTCTAGTGTTGTAGTAAAGAAAGTAAATTGCCCACCCCCACGATGAATGACGTTTAGATGTAGCGAGATGTAACCAATGATCGACGGTATCCGAACAAAGAACGAAGACGGTCTACGCTCAAGAACACGAATGGCAATGTCTTGAAACAATAGACTGACTCGCTGAATGGACTGGCCAAACAATGAAAGAACGGCCACCAGCCAGCTGGCTCAGAGAAGTGAATGTGTTGGTGGAAATAGAAAGAACGAAATAAGGAACGAAGCACAACTTAGAGTGTAAAGTTGAAGAAAGATCCCCTGTCACCCGAAGGAGATCCACGGCGCAGCACGAAACTTTAAGCGAAAAGGAAAGTCCAGCGCGGATCATACCTGAGATCATGCTGGAGGCCCAAGGGACCAATGACCCAGTCCACAAAACCTGCTAAAAAGCAATAATGGCGTGGTCCTGAAGGGGTGTTGCCATGAGCGCCGCCAAGACTGGCCTCTGCGCTTGGTTCCGAACCTATCGAGTGGTCTCTACGGAGCAAAGCGCCCTGAAGGAAATGCATCGTTGTTTCTGATAGAGACAGCCAGCCCTTTGGGCTTGGCCGGTGTTTAGCGCTCTTGGCTCCTATCGACCAACCGCGGAAACGGCCGCTTGCAGGAACATGGCCGACCGAGGGCGTCAACGCAGGCCCTGTTTCCAATCCGCGCCCTCTTACCACCTCTCAATCCCACCTTATGATGCTTCCCATAACCAGCCAATTGCACCAAGTTCACCAGATAGCCGCTGGTGAGCACGATGTATTGGCCTCCGGTCTGGTTTCTCACGTTTCAGGTTCTGCAATTCGGACTGAAACGACCGACCCGTATTGGCCGTGATTTGCATGCTAAGCAGCAGCAACGGCCCACTGGAAATCCACCGACAACACTGCTCTGCTGAAGGGTTAGCTATCATGAACCTGCAGAGAGGGTACAAACGGTAGCCTGGGTGTTCCTGTCATCTTTGCTTGAACCCATGGTGAAACAAGGCTATCCATGAACCTCAAGTGGGAGGTGGACTTGAGAAAGACAAGAGAAGGTGGGTTTGGCGATAAGGAGATTAATTGCCTAGAAAAAGTCACATGGCGGTCACGGGTCTGGTCCCTGGTTTGTCCCTGTTTAATCTAATTTGGTGTCAGTCTATTACTCTACCTTTTCTCCCATTGCCTGCCCACCCTTCTGGATCCTGGGTCCCTGGCGGACCTGCTTCATTATTTTCGGAAGAGTTTTCCTCACTTGCTTTTATCTTGGTGGGGTCCCTTGGTAACGGATGAGACTATTCCCAATCTATAAACTTTCCAGGTGCCAACGGTTCCCCTTGAATCGGTCATTTCATCCGGAGTTTCAATTATATACTTCCTTTGTGCTCCCTTGGCGCCTAGCATAGAATGCTAGCAGAGATAACCAGTCTATCGCGACGAACGAGTTTCACCTAATATATCCTGAGCAGCCGCTAATCTGGTATGACACACTAAGGCAAGAATGACCTGATAATAGCATCCTTCAGATATTGATTAGAAAACGCTGAGTAACGCGTGGTGCGAAAGCAGGTGCTTTACATCATTGGTGTATATTCCATCTATCACTTTCAACCAAACCCCTAGCACAGCAAGGGCAAAAATGCAGACAAAAATAGTCAGGGGAAATAGGGACGAAAAGAAAACATGAAAAAAAAAAATTGCCGCCACAGAACTTTTTACCGTCCCATCCAACCGCCGTCAACGGTGATAATTTCACCTGAGACATAGCTACTCGCTTGACTTGCCAAGAACACTATCACGCCCTTGAAGTCTTCTGGCTTGCCCCATCTTCCCGCCGGGATTCTAGCCATGATACCAGCATTGCGATTGGAATCATTGATCAGGGCAGTGTTCATATCCGTGGCAATGTATCCGGGAGCAATTGCATTGACGTTGATACCCTTAGCCACCCATTCGTTGGAGAGGGCTTTCGTTAATTGCGCGACACCTCCCTTTGACGCTGCGTATGCAGGTACCGTGATACCTCCCTGGAAGGTGAGAAGCGATGCGACGTTGATGATGGCTCCACGACGACCAGTTGGGAACTCTGACTCATCGCGCGCCAACAGGTATGCACCGAACTCTCGACATAACGTAAAGACGGACGTCAAATTGACTTGGATAACCTACATAATTCAATAGTCAGTATCTAGCCTTCAGCTCCACTTCAGGAGAAGGGAGGTCCAAAAATAGACAGAGGTAAAAAGGTGGCTGAAAAAGGAGACTCTTTGACACATACCTCATCCCAATCTTCATCCGGGAACTTTTCACTGGGGTGTCTCCGTTGAATTCCGGCGCAGTTGAGTAGGATCTCGGGCTTGAGGCCTTGACTGGTCAGAGCTGGAATGACACCCTTGATTGATTCCCGATTCGACAACTCTGCCACGTGGATCCAAGCTTTCCTGCCAATGCGATTGACGATCTCATCGCGGGTCGAAGTGTTCGACTCGTCTCTCTGTGCGTAGAGCGTCAGTTATACACGACGTTTCGTCACGGCTCCCCTGTCATTTCCGTAGCGCCAATGGGGAGGTCGCGGCTGTGCGCACCTGAATCAAGATGATATCGGCACCAGCTTCGGCAAGGGCAAAAGCCATTGCCTGCCCAATGCCCCTAGTACCTCCTGTCACGATGGCGGTCTTACCGCTGAGGGAAAATAGCGACGCAACTGCGGCCGACATTGTGATTGTTTCGCGCTTAGATGGTTACTAAGAATAGTAATTTGCTGTCAAGCGTCCTTTCGTTTCTCTAAGTATTATCGTTAGAGGTGTATTTTGCTGTGCAGCTGAGCGAGGGGGGGATAGTCTTCCAAATTTCTCTTGCCACCAAATCAATAATCGATGGCGACCAGTCATCCTTACTGTCCTGCTAATAATAAATAGCTGTCCCTCTTCCTCCGCGCGCGGGGCAGCAGCGACTAATTCCCTTTTGGGGTAATTACATTGCCGACACAGCGCTTCAAACGCCGACGCCCCGCATTCGGCTATTGAACTTTGTTCGGGGATGCTCCGATTTGCGTCTTGTATGGTAACTCGTACAAATGACATCTCATGGAGTTGGGGTGCTTTGGAAATGCTGGATTTTCTGGCAAAAGGCACGGAATAATCCGGAAAATCATCTATGCTAAATGCATTATCCCAGGAAAGTGTACAGAGTATGTCGTCAAGCATTGAATATTTCCGTAATTGGTGTGTGGGAGCTGCGTGGCCGTTTTAGACGATTATTTGTACAAGCATTCATTGCCTTGCATCTCACCATCCAATAGGCGGATCAGTGAAGCAATTCAATCTATCTCACAGATAGCTCTCAAGGACCTGATAAGCTAGATGGATGAAGTATTCCTAGGGGCTAGTGATCCGGAGTTTGGTGATTCTCACAGATGCATTAGACAGACATTAGATGGATTCCTCATATGGCCTGCTGCAGGCATTCTATATATCCATGTGCTTGCCACCAGAGGCACCACATCAGCTTTTCAACGAGAACCTCTGCTACTATGACTTCGGCATCATGCAGTCAGTACTTATGACTGAATTTAAAAGCAGCGCACGAACTAGCTCTGAAATGAATTAAGCTTAGACTCCTCGTCGAGATCAACAGCTGCCCGGTCTTGCATAGTGAAAGCCTTGGATTGCCGACTCGTTGAATACCCGTATGTATGGGATGAGTAATACCAGATTATTCCTTGGCCGTGGGTCAGGAAAAAAAAGCAATGCTCATAAGTTTGCAGCGTTTACAACTCCTTCCCCCCGCGGCCTGGCCCTTCTCGACTGCTGAGTCGATGATTTGGGGTTACGAGGCGGATTATCACTTAGTGCGCAATTGGTACAGACTTGCTGGTGCCTTAAAAGCCAACTGTGTGGGGAAGCCACGAGCGCCCGTCCGGAGCTCAAGTTACCCCAACAATCATATAGGAACTGTTCGGAGTCGAGCAACACCCCGAGGTCTCTCCTACACTACTCTGCAGAGGATTCAACCTTGTTTCCTAGCATCAAGAGGAAAGCATTCCCGTCTATTCGTCCCTTACACTTTCCATCTTTGCAAGCAAAAATCGCAGGAGGGAATTACTGACGCGTTTCGTTCCCAAGCCGACCTGTCAGCACTGCTGGGATGAGATGTCGCATTGGAATTCTATCACTTGACGCTGTAAGCTGAAGAGGTTAATGTGCTGTATGCAGCGATGGAGCAAGACGATCAATCTCCGCCAGTCGAAGGGACCCCGACGTCAAGAGCCAAGGCCCGTTCAGATCATTTAATGAAACGCGTGTCAAGAGCATGTCTGCATTGTAGACAGCGCAAGTCGAAATGCGACCTGTAAGCCATGACTGTGACAGACGTTTATTCCTCCTTTTTTCTTCCAACGTTATTTCGGTTCAGCCTTTCCTGCCTGTCGGTGATCTTGGGAGGCTAATTACAATGTAACACAGGGATAGCAGTGGCAGCCCGGGAGTCCCACCATGTCAGCGGTGTATCAGGGATAACCGTGAATGTGTCCTGGGCAGTTCCAATCGAGGGGGACGGCGGATTCGCAAGAATAAAATCAAAAATTTCACACCAGACAGCAATTCTTCTGTGCGAAGGGATTCCGTCATTGAGGCACCAAGCCCTTCCAATTCAGAGGCTCGTCAAACGACGTCTAGTTCTTACCCTGGTCCCGTTGTCTTCCTACCCCCTGATCCGCCGACCGCAACTTCAATCTCCGTTGATGATGATGAAGACGAAGCTTCTATCGGCGATGTTCCCCGCAATCCTTCTGATGCCTGGCAGTGTCTGACGGGCATTGCGAAGAGAGGTACAGAAGACCCGAGCGCCGAAACGGGCGTCGAACCTCTGCGTACAGGACCCAGTGCATTCTCATCATACACGGCACTTCAAGACAGTTCTGTTACTGGATTCCAATCAAATAGCGGCATCAAGGCGTACAGGCTAGTACAATCACGCTCACTAGATCCGGGAACGGTATGGCAGCTAGTGGTCCGCTACGCTGAAAACTTCCATCCGTACCTTCCTTTGGTGCCACGAAAGTACTTTGATCGCAGTGCGCTAGATGCATTTGCTGATAACGAGAAGCATCTGCTTACTGCCGTCCTCACAATTGCTTCGAAGGATCTAGCCGAACGGCCGGAAATACACGAGTACTGTTCTAAGTACATGCATGAGCTGATCTCTGGAATTGCTGCTGGAGCCGATTGCGATGTTGAAGCTGTGGAGGCTCTTCTTATTTTGGCGGAATGGGAACCCCAAGGCCTCCGACCGCGCATTGAACGTGTAGGCCGTGGAGAGGAAGATCGAGCTGCCTGGATGCATGTAGGGCTCGCCTTGCGATCTGGTTGGTTTCTTGGCCTAGACAGAACGTCATTCAGAGGCGATTCTTCTGGAGACGCGGAGACAGAAGCTCGTAGGCGGCTAGCATGGACGAGCTGCTACGTATCGGACCGATTGATATCTGTTCGTATTGGACGTGCTTTCTGGTCGCGCGGGCCGGGTCCGATGACTGGCCTTGTCAGCCAAGACTTTCCATCGTTGCAACCCGCTAGAGACGGTGATGAGGATTATGCGAAGATATTTCAGGCCACCCTGGATCTGACGCAACTTTACGGAAATGTTCACGATGTGCTCTATTCTGGCATGCGTACGAGCAATCAAATGATGCTCATGGGCGACTATGTTAAGTACGTGGATGATTTTCGCCTTGCAATCTTGCGATGGAAGTCTATCTGGGGTTCTCTGTCTTGTAAGTTTCAGCTCCGACGAAGTTTGGCCTGATTGACTGACATTTCGTAGGTTCACCGCCAATGAAAGCCACGTTACAGCTGTCCTACGAATACCTGAGGCTATACACAAACGCTTTTGCCTTCCAGGCGGCAATATCCCAGTCACTCGTGTCCCAGATCAGGAACGATGACAAGGCTCAAAGAGATCATCTGCGAGCAACGTTTAACAATGTAGCCTCGATGCAGGATGCTCGGTTTATCTATGAATCGGTCGATGCCGCAAAAACATACCTGACCATCCTTGTTGATGTGGTTCATCCAGAAAAGCATCTTCATTTTATGCCGTTGAGGTATTATCTATACGGGATCTACGCAGCCGTATTTCTGTACAAGGTAATATCCTTTGATATACGAATGTACATATGAGTAACTAACAGTGCATTCAAGGCACGCTCATTCGGAGTAATGTCTCACTTGGAGGAGCTGAAAGTGCGGGATCTCGTGACGCGGACCACCGAAGTACTGAAGAGAGCAAGCGCTGGATCTGATGACATAGGATCGCGTTATTCTCGACTCCTTGAACTCCTTTGGAAACAGAAGTCGATGGCACCAACTTCACCAGCCGGAACACATCAAAGCGGCGATGTCCTGATGCAGAGTAACAGCGCATTATCGCACCATTTGTCCGATCAAAATAGCTACGTGCACTTCAGCCCTGCGAATGACTTTTCATGGCTGGATCTTGAAGCCGTTGGGGATTACGTCTCTGGAGATCAAATATCGGGAGCCAACACACTCGCATTAGATACCTTCCAGAACCCGGACATCTTCCAAGCGGGACAAGAGCGATCCCAGGCATGGCAGGTTCCATGGTCGGGCGACATGAGCAGTAGCCTTCTCTTCTGATTTCTATGTGTCGCAAGAGGGAGCGCAACCGAATCACTACTCTTACCCCCGCCCATTGAAGCAATTCGTGCTCTTCTGTCGGCTCTGGTTGAAAACCCCACGGCGATGCGGGGCTGTGGGGGCGCCGGGATGGTACCGACGTGAGGTTAGATACTATTTACATCGCTCGCATCGAAGCACGGCTTCGAAAGTGGCCTGCTTATTTGGTATGACGATGGCCCGATTGCGCTTCTGTTGATTTAGCTAATGGTTTTACGAACTGCCTACAGGCCGATTAAGTCAGCTACATGACTGATCGCTGCTCATGCGGTTGTCATTGCTGGGGTAGCAAAGCCTTTGTTCGATGCATGCGGCCACGTAAGTTGCATGTGCGTGCTACATTATTCGTAGCCTGAACATGCTACTATGACGGAGGAAATAAACATCGATCGCTGTATATACCTCAATCATGCTGCGACAAGTGTCGGCCGGGTGGGCAGCATATGGAGTCACTCCTAGTTACCTCACCAAGCACGCGCTGCAAGGAGATGGTGTCTTACGCTTAGGGATCTTAGACGAAGACCCGACAGTCTAAGTAGGCTTATTTCCTGAGGGAACTTGGGAGATTGAGTGGTTGTCAATCCCTGAGGGTTGTATCCACGATTTCTGAGCAATGACCAGCTTTTGGAGCCAGCTGCTGGGAGGAGTATTATATGGTGCAGGGGAAGGCTAGCAGATGCAGTTGCATGCAGCACCGCTATTTAGTGCGCATCTAAACTCTATTTGTCTACTATATAACAGCCCTGCTCCTCAAGCTTGGGGATGCCACAATTTGATGCATATATTGCCTTATGTCGAAACCCCTGGTGCTAAAAAGAGCGAGCGCTTGGAAAACGTCTTTGTCTCAAATCATGCCAAATCTCAGTGAAGCCGATCATGGGGCTGCTTCAAAGTCTTTCAGTCATACCGGTCATATCAGCATTCAGCCTCTCAAACGTGGGGAAGGGCGGGCATTCTCCGCATCGGGAATTGAGGCCGAGCGTCGATAGCCGACAGTGAACTGGAAGGATACGCCGGTCTCTCCACGGCCAGAAAGGAATACGAAACAGTCTTGGTTTTGATCGACACTGGCTTGTAGCCTCATGACATATACTATGAACTCATAGTCAATGGCGGAAACGGATGTTTTCTGCATGTTTTGCACTGATATCAGTTTTGATGTAGTTATCAGTTGCCGAAACAATTGACCAGTTGGTGAAAGGGCATTACGGCAGGGTGAATGAGCTGACTGTAGCCCAAATAGGTTTAGCGTCTGTCTGAACTAGGAACATGATTCGATCATGCGACAACACGATGAACAAAACGACCAGCACCTCACTCATTTGAGGAAGGGAATATGACAGCATTACATTTAACGAATATGACTTTCAGTTACTGAGAATAAGCAATGTAGATACTTATAAAGCCATCGATCGACGAAATTAACATCGAAGCAGACAATGAAGTTCCTACGGACCGAAAGCTAAAGGGCAATACTGCCGGGCGGTGAGGCGGGCACCTGCCCCAAGCCGCCTAGTGTTAGGGCTCCGATACCCTAGGCGGGCGCCAAGAGCGAAAAAGCGCACCACAACGAGCGAGCCTCGCGATCTCAAGTTCCAGCGGCCGACGACAGGAAAACGACAAAACTTCTCACCCGACATCGAGGACCACCCGCTCGGCAACCACATCAAGATGGTGAGTGCTATATTCGCGTTTGCTGCTATCGGTGGAAAACGGACATGTCAAAAAAGCAAGGGAAAAAAGATATCTTGAAAAGAAAGAACCGCTGCCCAACCTTTTCGTTGTACCGGAATCCCTATCTATCATCTTCGATCCTGCGTTTTGGCCGATGAAGGAAAACTTCATACCGAACAATTCTCGACTCTCTCCCCCCTGCTATGATGAACTTCCGTCCACCGATATGCATATTTTATATGGAACTATGTGCTTGGGAAAGAGGGGGAAATAAGAAAAAGAATTGATATATGAGGGATTGAATGAATGGTCTTTGCTGATTGTTGGATTTTTTTTTTTGTCGCCATCAGGTCCGTTACGCTGCTCAGGACATTCCGGCCGCTAAGAGCGCCCGCGCTCGGGGCTCTTACCTGCGTGTCAGCTTCAAGAACACCCGCGAGACCGCTCAGGCTATCAACGGCATGAAGCTGCAGCGTGCCCTTACCTTCCTCACCAACGTCACCGAGAAGGCTGAGGCCGTCCCCATGCGTCGGTACGCTGGCAGCACCGGTCGCTGCGCTCAGGGTGAGTGGGTGTTTTTTTCTACAGAGTTTTTGAAAAGAGATGGGAATGGAAATTATGGGTCGACAAATGAACCGACATGGGCAGAATTTATAAGGGATGGAAGGAATGGAGGATATGATTTCGGAGGATATGGCAAAAACCAAGCGTTTTGGTAAACGAAGACGCTGACCGTCTTGTTTCTCTCTAGGCAAGCAGTGGGGTGTCAGCAAGGCTCGCTGGCCCGTCAAGTCCGCCGAGTTCCTTCTCGACCTCCTCAAGAACGCTGAGGCCAACGCCGACACCAAGGGTCTCGACACCGGCAACCTTGTTGTCAAGCACATCCAGGTCAACCAGGCTCCCAAGGGTCGCCGCCGTACCTACCGTGCTCACGGTCGTGTATGTTGAAACCGGAATCCGAGATATCATATCTCTTATGTCACGCATCCCCGCAAAACTGACATTATCGATTAGATCAACCCCTACATGACCAACCCCTGCCACATCGAGCTCATCCTCACCGAGGCTGAGGAGACCGTCGCCAAGGCCGCCGCTAACAAGGAGGTCCGCCTCAGCTCCCGCCAGCGTGGTGCTCAGCTCCGCCGTGCTCTCATTGAGGCATAAGCGGTGTGTGGGTGTCGGGGAAAGTGTGAAGTGGTCAGAAACTGAATGGGAATGCCGGAGTTTGCTGTTGTACGGATTCAATACCTGGTCACGGAAGGAATACAAAAGAAATTATTACTTTTTTGACAAATGGAAAAAATTCGAAACCACCCGGCGAAAAAAAAATGATGGTGATGATGATGGTTTGTCTTCTGCTCTATGCAGAGGCAACACCTTTCTTTAGACATTGATCTCGTTTCACCCACCCCGGAGACTCGGTTCGACTGGATAGTTTATCCTTCACAGTCCCTGGCCATGAGCTAAGGCGGCTGGAAGGAGTCCAGGGAAAATTATTCCTTCATCATAGTGGATACTACTACATGGATGGCGTACATCGGTACGGCAGGTTTCGGACATTCTCCTACTTCAGGACACTTTTTGCGAGCGTTTAATTCATGATGGGATACGGAATTCATTTTTCTTTCATGAAGTTGTAAAGAAGAAGACGAAGGAAGGATGATGGAAGTTCATCATCAGCCCTGCCAGTCGGACAGGATCGATCTACAAGCGTAGGATGATAAGAATTTCGTAGTACTAGTAGAAATTGGCTACTTTGCCAGCGCGTCATAGGTCTGTCTGTTCTAGTCTCCGACAAGAGTCCTTGGGGGCTCTACACTATGCATTTGTAACAGAACAGTCAACTGCGCCACAGCTGCTAGACCCTCTGATCTGCAGGCTTGCAGCGTGTGGACAGGCATCCCCCGACTCCAGAACTCCGTCTCCCATCTTTCCCCCCGTCAGCAGGTTGCAGATAGGTAGAGTCAGAGGGGAGGGAATTCTGGCTCAGCCAAGCGTGGCTGTGTGTGTGACCATCAACCCGTCACAGGCTCCAATCGGCCCTTGCGAACAGACCATCAGCCAAAGCTTTTCCCGTGTCGATGGGATTCTTCGTCCAATGCGGCCTTTCTCCCGACGAGGCATTCGCATCCCCATGACGACTGGGAAACTATGCTTAACGAACAATTGGGGGGGACCAACCTGCATACGTAGTTGTATGCGGTTGGTTGCGCTGACAGTGCGGGATGGTGTACGCATTGCAGAGTCTTGGTAGGTGGTAATAAATCAAACAGGCATCAAGATTCATAGGCAGACGTGGATCATGTTCTGTTTGTTGGCTGGTTGTCTACTTACTTAACTTCTCTACGTCAGTTCTGGATCGTCCCAAGAAACGCAAACAAGAGCGCTTGCGTGTCGCCGACAAAGCGCATTGCCACCGGATCGACTGCTTCAGAACATCAAGCAAAACAGAAGAAGTTTCGGGAGTGATGGATGGATTGACTCTAATCTTGACTAAAACTTAAGTTTTGGTTTAAAGCACCCTCCGCTGCTTTTTGCTCCCCCGCGGCGCTTAAACCGGCCCTGCGAGGCTGCGACTGTCTTTTTTTAGTCTCGTTTGCTTGACGGCCCCCTTTCTTACTACTTAAATTTTTCGCCAACCCCATTCCTATTGTCTATTTTCTACCCAGCTGTGGTAGCTTGCGACAAGTCATCATGAAGCGCATCTTCAATTCCTTCAGCAGGCGATCCAGTGAGTTTCACTCTCCCACCCGTTGCTGATCGGCATGCGACGGTGACAAGGCTCACCTCAGAATAGGTCCCGCGCGCGACTCCCCTTCGTACCCCGAGGACTCTCCGGAAGGTATCATACTTAGAGAAGTGGTTCGTATTGATCCAGAATCATCGTTAAAGCTCGTCCAACTAAAGCACATCTACGGTTTATAGACCGCGTTCTGCGAATCGGGCCCCAACAGCGCCGTATGTCCCACCCTGCGGACCCCCCTCCCCCTTCCATAATCGCCTCATTCCCATTCCCCGCCTGCTTAATAGCGACCGTACTTACAATGACATATCCAGAATGGAGACGAGTTCGTTCACCTTCCTGCCATCGTCGAGAGCGCCGAATCCAGCCCCAACGCCGCCCGCGAAGCCGCCCTTCGCATCTCCAAGCTGTTGTCCAATCCCGCCAAACCCCGGAGCAATGTGCAGTACAATGCGATCATGCTCATGCGCATCCTCATCGACAATCCAGGACATACCTTTTCGCGGAATATCGACGCCAAGTTCGTGGCGACTGTGAAGGACCTCTTCCGGAACGGGCGGGATATGAACGTACACAACTTTTTGCGGGACACGTTGGATTCTTTGGAAATGCAGCGGGCATGGGACGAAGATCTCGCGCTGCTCCTGGGGATGTGGAGCAAGGAGAAGGAAAAGTATGCTCCCAAGAATACGGGTAATGTATGTGACCAAACATCCCTCTACTTGTCTCTCTACTTGTTCAAAGCATCGCCAAGTTAATCTTCTGATTCCCTACAGCCTGGCTTGACACAACCCCTGGTCCAGCCATACCGACAAACCCCGAACTACTACAACGCCCCCAACCAGAATCAACATGGCGGGTTACCTCAGCCCGAAGAACTCTCCGCACGCATCTCCGAGGCCAAGACATCCGCGAAGCTCCTCATTCAATTCGTCCAATCCACGCCTCCGGCCGAGATGCTCGAGAACGAGCTCATCAAAGAATTTTCCGACCGGTGTCGCACCGCCTCCCGCGTGATCCAGAACTACATCCACTCGACGAATCCCGCCCCAGACGAAGATACCCTCGTCACGTTGATCGAAGCCAACGACGAACTGTCCGTCGCCCTGTCCAAGCACCAGCACGCCTTGCTCCAGGCGCGTCGCGCCCAGGGACAATCCGGCAGCCAGTCGCCTGCATCTTCCAGTCAGGCCTCGTCCTCTGGCGCCGTGCAACCCCCAGTCCCGACAGCAGCAGGAGCTTCTGCGCCGCCGGTGCCGCCTCGGAACCAAACGCAGAGCCCGCTATCCTCGGGCTCTTCCTCGACCGCTCCGGTCCTTCCGCGCACGTATAGCAACGGCGCAGGCCGATTCGAGTACCGCTCGGAGGATTTCCAGGTGCAGAACCCGTTTGCTGATACTAGCGCACCTGCTGCTACTGGTACTGCTCCTGTGGCTCCTGCGGTGTATAGTGATCAGCAGCAGGCTCGCCCGGAGGGCTCATCTCCCGACTGGTGGGCGGAGGGACAGCAACAGCAGCAGCAGCAGCAGCAACGACCGGTACAGCAACATTATTAAGATTGTGTGGATGGTAAGGTGGTGATTTGATGATGATTATTATTGTTTGACTTTTGATGTATCGATACCTTTTGTGATACCTCTACCGCGGAGTGAATTTTGATTTGCCAGATGTGCTTGTTTGGTACTTTAGTATTTATGGAAGTGCCTATTGACATAAAACAAAGTATGCCAGTAGACAGTAAATTTAGTAAGATATCGTAGTGAAATAAAGCTTATTAGTGGGGGTTATCACTTCGTAGTGCTTACTGCTGTATAGTATTACCAATGTGGGTATTCGGGACTGGCTGTGCCTAGTAAGTAGCACTTCCACTATCCGCTTGACACCTTTAATAGGTGGATTGTCTATTGTTAATTTACCCTAGCATGTTAATTTGCATGCTATGCTAAAAATAAAAAGCTCTAGATTGTAAGTACATTACTTACCCTCTCTTCTATGCTCCTACCGCACTACTAAAGTACTACATATCCAATGTACTATCCATACGCGGTAAACAACATACTACCATCGTCATCGTCCACTTACAAGGACACCCTTTACTACTATCTAACTGACAACATTGACGGGCCATATAAACCTACAATAGCCTACATTTATAGTCTCCCTGTGGGCATTTAAACACGCCACATTTATCGGGTGTTCTTGCTACTGTACTACCACTGCTCTGCCGGTTATAGAATAATCAGCAGCCAAGCAAGCACCACTCTATGCAAAATCTACATCTCTACTACATTTACTACGAAACACACTTCAATATACAGGCACATCTATTCACACCACCAACTCTATCTAACACAGCAACTGATCCTATTTGTATACACCCGCACCATCTTAGTTAGCGTACTTAAGGAGAGCCTTAAGCAGGCTAGCAACCCAAGTGAGCTGCTCCTCAGCAGTACCATCAGTAGGGATGGAGACACCCGAGGAAGAAGCAGCAGCAGCAGCGCTAGAAGCAGCAACAGGGGCGACGGTAGCGCTCTGCTTCACGCTAGTAGCGAGGGTAGTAGGGACGCTAGAGGAAGCGGGAGCGATGTTGTTGGCGGTGCTAGGGGTAGTGACAGCGGCGGCGGCAGCAGTGGTGGTAGTTTGCTGGCTGGCAGCGGCGGAAGAAGAAGAAGAAGAGGAAGAAGAGGAAGAAGAAGAGGAAGAGCCAGAGCCGCTAACAGTGAAGTCAACGCAAGACTCATAAGTCTGATCAATGGAAGCAGCGTTCCACCACCACTGGAGAACACAGGCACCACCCTCGGTACACTTATCGCCGAGGTCATCGGGGATGGTGACGCTGAAGCTAGTCTCGTTGGCAGTGACACCGGTAGCGGTGGAGGCGTAGACGCTCCAGTAGATCAGAGGGGAGCCGATGACGGTGTTGGAGGCAGTGTCAACGACGGAGACGTTGGCGGTACCGGTGTGAGGAGCGCGAATGTCGACGGTGAAATCGACGGTCTCACCGGCCTTGTACGAGTAGACGTTGTCCTTGTTGTCGGCGTACTTGTAACCCTTGCAGAGCCAGATGTCACAGGCAGAGGCGTTGTAGTCGCTCTGGCCCGCAGCGATCTGAAGCTCACCCTGCACGTTGCCGTAGTTGTCGGCTTCCTGGTTGTCGTACACTTGCTGGCCACAGGCCTTCTCCATGGCGCTACCGGGCATACGGGCTTGAGGGGAGGTGACGAAACCGTGACCCTGGGCCAGGGAGACGAGCCCGGCGAGGGCGAGGATGGAACCAGCCTGCTTCATTTTGGTGGGGAAGTTTGGTTTCTGTAGGAGAGAAAATAAAGATAGTGTGTAAGGTCTGGTATACCGGTATACCAGATGGTTTGATTGTTCAAGGAATGGAGTTTTTTTTGTGGAAAGAATGTGACGGTCACAGACCGGGGAAAAGAGAATGTGGGAAAGAGAGAAAAGGATGAATTGAAAGAACTTAGACAAGCCTGTGTGCTGAAGGAAAAGAAGGAGAGGAAGAGATGAGGGCGACGAGAAGGCCGTTCTATATAGGCCGTGAAGGGGCGTTCTGGACCTGGACAAAGCTCTCCATCATGATCGATCGTGAAACGGTTCTCGCATCGTAGAGAAGGGCCCTCCCAAAAGTCCCTGAAGATAATAATGACAGGGGAGACACTCCACCGGGAACTGGAGACTGACTGGACTGGCTCAAGCGCTGGCAGCAGCGCAAAGGTTTCATCTTGAGGGGCGTTGAAACGGTGGGTGGAGATGAATTCAACGCCGGCGGATTGACCGGGATGCTTGGCATCGCCCGGGTTTCAGCTTCATTAATGCCGCGCCTGATCACTGCCAACCATTTGCTCTCTCTCTCTGTCTCTCCCTTTTT